GAACACAAATTGGTGGGAGTTGAAACAAGAGTGGATAGTTGAGTTTACGATGTGGATGGTGAGGTATTTGGAGTAGAAGGCTGTGTAGGGTAAGGAGAAGCATCAGACATTGGTGAGGTGGGTCGAGAAGTAGGAGTTGGAGGCTGGGATGGTGATGTTGGACATGGTATTTCTTGTAGCAGGACAGGAGGTGTAGGGGTCGCATGAGATGATGATATGTTTGATGAATCTGTTGGTGATGAGGAGTTCGGTGCATTAGTGGTCAGTGGGCTTTTGAAGAAATCATCAGCATTGGGCAAGGTGAGTGAGGAGGAGGAATAGGAGGGAAAGTGAGATTCAATAAACTGAACATGACGAGAGTGATATTGGCGAAGGGTGGTAGGGTCAAAGCATATGTAAGCGGATTTGGAGGTGGAGTAACCTAGGAAAAGAGATGGGGTCGATCGCGGTTGTAGCTTGCAGTTGGTGTACAGCCTTAGCCAGGGATAGCAAAGACAACCAAAGGGTTTGAGTTTTGTGTAGTTTGGTGTTTGGTGGACGTTGGTTGTTGAGGATGGGTGTGGGAAGTCTGTTTATAAGATAGACAGCGGTTTGGAAGGCATGAGACCAAAAGGTGAGTGGCAATTTGACATAATGGGGAAGAGCAAGTCCCGTCTCAACCACATGCCGATGTCGTCGTTCGGCGACACCATTCTGTTCAGGAGTGAGAGGCGGGGTGGTGTAGTGAGAGATGCCATGAGCTTGTAGGAACGGCTTAAGGCCTTGGTATTCACCGCCATTGTCAGTGACGATTGACACAATTGGTATTTGGAAGAACTTCTCAACAAAAAGTTAGAATTGGGGAAATAGTGTGGCAACATCATATTTCCGTTTCATAGGGTAGAGCCAAACATATTTCGAGTAGTAATCTACAAAAATGACGTAATAAGCGAAATTGTTAATGGAAGTTTGAACAGGACCGCACACATCAGAATATATTAATTGAAGCAGTTTTGTGACAACGAATGAATTTGGACCAAAAGGTAGTTTGTGACTTTTATTGATTGAACAAGAGGAACAATGCATATAATCAGAGATTTGCTTAGCACTGAGACCTATGTTTGAGACAAGAGACTTGAATACTTTGATGGATGGATGACCTAATTTGTGGTGCCATCCAAGTGGAGAGACTTTGGTGGTGGCATTGAGTTGCAATGTGGATGGGAGGTTAGCATAATAGACATCTTCAAGGTTCTCCCCTCGCATTACACGCGTCCCCGTGCGAAGATCCTTCACAAAAAAATGAGAGGGAAAAAATTCAACAGAAACTCGATTAGTCTTGCACAGTTTAGCAACGGATATAAGGTTTCGATGTAGATGAGGAACACATAACACATTTGATAAAGATAAGGTTTTGAGTAGTGTGTCAATGTCTTTAAAGCCAACATGAGATATTTTCAAACCTTTACCATCACCAAGTATTATTTCATCAGGTCCCCCATATTCAGAGATGTTATGAAGTGTGGACTGATCAGAGGTGACATGATTTGAGGCGCCACTGTCAAATAACCAGGTTGGAGAAATAGGCGTTGATCCAGATGTTGTGACATTTGTTGTAGGAGTTGTTGAAGCGGGGTTACCGATGTTAATGTTGTTGTCTCTTAGAACTCTGGATAGTTTCCGACAGTCCCGAGTCTGATGCCCCGGAATATTACAAAATTGGCAGAAGCTGCTGGTGTGATTTTGTCGACCTCCATGAGGGTGAGGTGTTGTCCAAGATGAGGGAACTGTTCCTCTGTTGTTGCGTCCGCCACCTCTATGTGAACCAGAGGATTCAGATGGGTACCGATAGTGTTGTCGTCCTTGTTGGCGAGTGGTATAATTAGCAGTAGCTAAAATTGGTTCAGGGTTTGGTGTAGTTTCTTTGAGGGCTCTTTCAAAATCACTTAATTTGTCAAAGAGTTTCGGGTAAGATAGCGGATTTTCTCGAACCTTTATGGCAGCCACAATGGTGCTGTAGTCGTCACTTAATTGAGATAAGATGTGAACAAGCAGATCATCCACGGCTATAGGGCTTTGTGCGAGGGTGAGATCATCTGCAATCGAGCGCATATCTTGGAGATATTTAGAAATAGTGTGATTACCTTTGGGGTTTTTAACCATTTTGGATTTGAGTGAGATTATTCGGGAACGTGAAGCACTGGCAAAGCTTGAGTTTAACCGTTCCCAGGCATCTATGGCAGTAGTTGCAGACGAGATAAGGGGCTGAATTGATTCCGAGCAGCTTCCAAGGATTGGGCTGATGAGGATTTGGTCTTGTCGATACCAAGGTAGGTATTCTGGATTTGCCTTGTCGTCGATTAATTTCTTTGGCGGTTCACGGCTGCCATCGATGAACGCTTTGAGTTCTAACCCGATTAGGGTGGATTCCACTTGTTTTCGCCAAACAGGGAAATTGACAGAGGTGAGTTTAATGGGGAAGTGGGTAGCGGCAGTTAGTTGAATGGTTGGAGCCATTGATGGGTGCTTGAAGGTTATTTAGGGTTTCTGTGAGAGGGATCGAGAATTTCTCAGAGGAGCCTGTATGGCTTTGATACCATATAATGAGATTGAGGAAAAATAATATTGTATTGAATTCAATTGTATCAAAACTGAATACATGGAAGGTTTATATAGATGATATACAACAATGGAAAGGAGTAATTACAGGAGCTATCTAAGGAGCTAAAGGAGGAACAATATTTGACAATAATGACCATTTAAGAGCATTAAATCAAATGATTGGACCAATTGTGCTATTGGTCTTAATAGGTGATACAAGCACTACCATACCATGAGTGAACGAACAATAAACAACACACTTTTATCCAAACTAGTTGGATACTAAAGCTAAATTTAAAAATAGAACTATAAGTGATGAAACATAATAGAGAAAACAAAGAGGTTACCCATTCTGGAACACAAAAGGCATCCTTACAGTAACTCCCATCTAAAGCCAACTACTTTGGTATCCCACACTCATGCAAATCTCTCTTCATTACAAGTGTAAATCTTGATCAACCTCTACCTCTAATAGTGGCCTCCTCATGGTCATGGTACATGCCTCCTCTTCTAACTCTATGTATCTAGAGATCTACATTGTAGATGACCAAACCATTTGGGATTGTGTTTCCATACATTTACTCGGTTAGTTGCATTCATGAATTAACCAAGCTCACACTTCTTCGTCGATATTATAGTTTAGATCAGATTTCAGTGGAATTTCATAAAAGCATGTTTCTTATATATATTTCTTGCAACCCTTTCGTCTTGTTATAACCTCCATCCTTAGACAACATATATATAATATAATATAGGGTAGTGATATAGGAATGGCACTTTCACATGCAAAGGTCACATGTTGCAATCTCATCCCTTCTCTTATGCAAAAGAAAATTGAAATAACAAAAGCATCACAATCTGCTTCCTCGTAAGAGTATCATTATTTGATTGTAGCAATTGGAAAGTGGAACATTTAATTATTTTGCTTGTTCTATCTAGTGGATATTTCCCTATGTGTGTAGGTTTGGGGATCTCCTTGAAGAAATATACGTATTGAATCTCCTTTTGTTTATTACCTTCTTTTGTATATTGTAATATAGTAGGTCATAAGCATCTAAACAACTCCACTAAAAGTTGAAACAATTCAACAGTTTTCAAACAATAACCAAATATATCCCAAAAAAAATGGGATGTCATGAAGCATAGAAGAATGCATGTCTAGTTTGTGTGGAAGGGGTATTTAATTTTATAACTTAAAACACAAATACATGAATAGAAGTAATCAACCAAGTATGAGATGGATGTGATGTCTCAAGCTATAGGTTTGGAATATGAAACAAACCTTTAAGTTAACTCTTATTATTGTGATGCACCTTTATCAACAACAAACAATATGCACAACAGGTTTTGCAGATACAATTGTTTTTATGCTTGTAAGGTGAACTGTATGCAGAAAGTTTCAGCTCACAGATAATCTGTTTGCCATTAAATTTGACTGATCTTTATATAGTCAAACCAAATCAAGGGGAAGTTTTGAATGAAACACTACGTATGGACGGACATGCACGTGGGATAGTGCATACATTAAGCTCATGGCAGCGATCAGAATGTGTACAGCAGAAAGAAATTAAAGAAAATAGAAGCTCAGATGCCAATGTTGCCGGTTCCAAACTTATTTTTCTGATTCTCTTGAAACTTTTTCATCACAAGGGCAGAAGGAATGTGCTTAAAAGGATGTGTGTGCATGTATATAATAAACATAGATACATAGATACCCATCTTGTTAAACATGCCTTCCGCATTTGAGAATAAAATTCAAAGAGAAGCAGAGAACCCAATAAATAAGTTTGGCAGCAGCAACTCTGCATCTGAGCGTCTGTTTCCATTTTGATGGATTGCACTTGCCATGTGAAGAAGCGACTACAAGGGGAGACGAATTCAGGCTTGCCATATATATGTAGTGCTAGTAAGGCAATTAGACAATGTTAGCAAGATGTAGCACTAACTAGTTTATAGTAGAGCTTGTCATAAAGAAGCTAATGTATTACAAACACATACGTACATTAATACAAACATATATATATGGAACATTTAATCAACAAATAAATTGAAATTCCATCTTATGCAAATGCTTTTTGAAAGTATCATTGGCTCAATTTGTGGCATAGACCTACAACTAACCAAAACTTATGGAACAGGTAATGGGAGCTTGGTGTAGAAAAGGGAAAGTGTGATAAATCATATAGTTTGGGTAAGAAAAGGGAGCTTGGTATACTATACACACATGCACGCATATATTCATTTGTATGAATGTAAATTTACGATCACCAATATCAATTTTCATTCACAAAACCATTGTAAGTCACGTTTATTAAGCAACTACCTTAGTTATAGCGGGTCGTTGCAACAATTTGCAGACAAAATGCAATGTAAATGGCAAGCATAGTAGAATCATAAAAATCTTTAGGATGAGCACACACCTCAACAGCCATGCGTGCCCATTTGTTCCCCATCTTGGCATGGAGTTCAATGATTCGTCGCTCCTCCTCTGGTGTAAATGCACCTTTCTTAAGATCAGGTCTTAAATGATTTGCCCAACGTAAGCGACAACTTTTACCACAACGAGAAAGGCCAGAGTGCTTCTGAACGGCATTCCAGTTCCCCTCTCCATGCTTGTTCACATAATCCACCAAAATTGCATCTTCAGCAGATGTCCAAGGACCTTTCTTAAGTGTGCCATTTCCTATCATGTTTCTTTCAGTGCTGGCTTCATCAACTGTTGGCGAATTTATGCAATCCCTGGACATTATTCTGTCCTCGCTTTCACTTGTCATGTTGCTCATCTCCGTAACACACAAACGATTATCTATCAACAAAAGTAAACCAAGGGGAGTGGGAACAAACGTTATTCAAACATAGAACACTCTTTCTCAAACTAATGAACTGATGAAGCATCATGACTGCATAACAATAAAACTACATCAAATACTAGGAGTTAATGTATAGAAAATGGTTTCTCATGCCATATCGAAAATTCATATCAGATTTCAATATGAATCATAGACACCCAAAACAATATTTAAAGAGGGAGAAAAATCAAAAGACGTCCCAGACTCTTGAAGGCAAATAAATGAAATATAAACCCACAATTAACACAGAGAAAACTGAATAAAATTTATCAACTAAGAAATGAGCCTATCATATAAAAGCTCTTCAACCCCCATCCCCAAAAAAAGGGGAAGAAAATTTTGATAACAGAAACACCGATATTCGTGTTGGTAATATCCCAAACCACAGTGAATTTACCATATAACAATTAGACTAGTCTCATCAAACCTACATGTAAAATCTTGCCTCAGTCTCCATCATCCCTATGCGTCTTAATATGATAATAAAATGGAAGAATCTAGCATACTAAAGGTCAATTCTCACTCGCACACTTGTAGAATTATGTCAATAAAATTCAGAAATTTGAAGGAGCAGAAGCTTTTACCTCAACGAAGAACGCTTGTTTGCTTAAGAAATATCAATCCCTCGTCATTTGAGAAACAAAAAATAATAGAAAAACGCCGATAGAAACCGTAAATCAAATTCAATCTGAAAATCAAAAGAAGAAGACGCGATAACAACTAAAGCCAGAAACTTCGATGGAATTACGATGAATTCGCTATCAACCAAAATCTTCAATTCAAACACCTGATTGGTAAACTCAAATCGAGTAATAGCTAAAAAACCGTAAAAAGAATCTATATATCTCCTACTGGTAGACCCAGATGCAGATCTAGTTGAAATCAAAAGAAAACCAAATGGGACAATCGAAAAGGAAAAAATAAAATAAACAATAAGAACAAGACGAAGAACCAATGTGAAGTGAATGATTTCAGGAAAGGGATACAAGATGAATCGTTTATCAGACCTTAGCCGTGATCAGTAAAGAAAAAGACCCAGGATCCAATCATAGAATTTTTCAAGGATTACACTTATACATACACATATGTACAGATTTCATCAAAACTTGGATTCAGAGAGAGAGAGAGAGAGAGAGAAAAGCGTAAAGGGATGTGAGAACAAGCAATGTGGAAATGGAGAGAGAGACCCAGAGAGAGAGAGAGAGATGGCAAAGAAAGAGGAAAAATAGGAGATAGATGAGGATGGAGTACCAGCTTCGCTTACTCCCTCAGGTTACTTTTAGAGTTTTAAACCTTCTTTTATTACTACTTTGTTTATTAATGCTTTACTTTACATATTTCCCATTTTTGCTCCCTCAACTACTACTTTTTGTCATATTTCTCACTTTACTTTACACATACCTCATTTTTGTCCCTCAACTACTACCCTCTGTCAATTTTGGATATTAAAACTTTAAGTAAAATTGTCGTAGAAATTTAAACTATATTATAAAACATTTAGTAAAAAAACTCTTGAAAACCATTTTTTATGTTTGAAATACTGTTTATTGATGGATATTATTTAAAATTCAAAGTTACAAACAAAGTGTGCGTAAGTACAACTTTTTAAAGCTTAATGTTTGAATTTGTATAACTAACTGCAGATAATTATAGTCAAATACAAGATAAACATTTTATTTTAAATATAAAAAATCTAAAATATAATTAGAATAATTATTGAATTCTAACAAAATACTTAATTATTATTTTTATAAAAAACTAGAAAGGTACTCGTGCAATGCATCAAGACACATTTCGATTTCAATGTTTCGTTTTATTTTTTATCTATGTTGATATAATACGATTTTATGTGGTTTTGAGAAAGCCATAATGTTTTTATTTCTGAATAAAATATAAATTTAAAAATATCATATAAAATTTGCAAAAATATATTAATATTAGTATCAAATTAACTATTTAAAAGTTCTTGTTTGTGTATTTTTTTTTTAATTCAAATTTTTTATTATAATTTAATTTATTCTAACAAAGTAACTTAATTTAGGTTTAATAATATATTTTTTTATAAAAACAATAATTAAGTATTCTGTTAGAACTCAATAATCATCTTAATTATATTTTAGATTTTTATATTTTAAAATGAGATGTTTATCCTCTATTTGATTATATTTATCCGCAGTTAGTTACACGAATTCAAACATAGAGCTTTAATAAGTTGTACTTATGCACAATTTACTTGCAATCTTAAATATTAAGTAATATACATCAATAAACAATACTTTATGTATAAAAAAGGTTTGTAAGAGTTTTTGTCAAATGTTTTATAATATAGTATAGATTATATATTATTAAATCAAAAATAAATTACTTTGTTATTAAATCAAAATTAAATTATAATAAAAAAATGAATTAAAGAAATTATACGAAAAACAAGAACTTTTAAATAGTTAATTTGATAATAATATTGATACATTTATTTTTGAAATTTTATGATATATTCAAATTTATATTTTATTTAAAAATAAAAACATTGTCCATTTCTCAAAACCACATAAAAACCGTATTAAAACATTTACAGAGACGAAATAAAATGAAACATTAAAGTCGAAATATATCTTGTTGCATTGCACGAATACCCTTCTAATTGCAATAAATAACAATATATTTTCTCTTTATTTCTAATTTGATAAATAAACTTTTTTGGAAATCATTACTAAAAAACTTTTTTTAAAATAAATTACTTCTCGATAATTCTAACTAAAATATTTGTAGCATCTATATCTATACTATATTGTAAAACATTTGACAAAAACTCTTAAAAACTATTTTATATGCACGAATTACTGTTTATTGATGCATATTACTTAAACTTCAAGATTACAAGTAAAATTTTGCATAAGTACAACATATTAAAGCTCTATGTTTGAATTCGTGTAACTAACTGCAGATAAACATAATCAAATAGAGAATAAATATATCATTTTAAAATATAAAAAATCTAAAATATAATTAGATAATTATTTAGTTCTAATAGAATACTTAATTATTATATTTATAAAAAAATATTATTAAACCTAAATTAAGTTACTTCGTTACGATAAATTAAATTATAATAAAAAAACTGAACTAAAAAAATGCACAAATAAAAACTTTTAAATATCTATACTATATTATAAAACATTTGATAAAAACTTTTGAAAATTATTTTTTTATGTACGAAGTACTCTTTATTGATGCATATTACTTAAATTTCAAGATTACAAGTAAATTTTGCATAATAACAACCTCTTAAAACTCTATATTTGAATTCGTGTAACTAACTGCGGATAAACATAATCAAATAGAGGATAAACATATCATTTTAAAATATAAAAAATCTAAAATATAATTAGGATAATTATTGAGTTCTAATAGAATACTTAATTATTATATTTATAAAAAAATATTATTAAACCTAAATTAAGTTACTTCGTTACGATAAATTAAATTATAATAAAAAAACTGAACTAAAAAAATGCACAAATAAAAACTTTTAAATATTTATACTATATTATAAAGCATTTGACAAAAACTTTTAAAAACCATTTTTTATGTACGAAGTACTCTTTATTGATGCATATTACTTAAATTTCAAGATTACAAGTAAATTTTGCATAATAACAACCTCTTAAAACTCTATATTTTGTGTAAGTAACTGTGGATAAACATGATCAAATAGAGAATAAACATATCATTTTAAAATATAAAAAATCTAAAATATAATTAGGATAATTATTGAGTTCTAATAGAATACTTAATTATTATATTTATAAAAAAATATATTTAAACCTTGTTACTAAATCTAAATTAAATTATAATAAAATTTTGAATTAAAGAAGTTACATAAAAGACACGAGAACTATTAAATAGTTAATTTGATACTAATATCGATTTATTTATTTTTTTAAATTTTTTTGCTATCTTCAAATTTATATTTCATTCAAAAATAAAAACATTACCGTTTTCTCAAAACCACATAAAATTGTATTATATCGATAGAGACAAAGAATAAAAACTAAACATTAAAACTGAAATTTATCTCGTTACATTATGCGAGTATCATTCTAGTATTAACGAATATAAATTGTTTTATAATGGTTTTCGATAACTAAAGGGTTTTAGTATATGTTTTGAAAATCTAATAACCAAATTATAAATAACGTAAAAACATGTTACTATTTATTGTAATTCACCCTTAAGCATATTATCGAACTAAGTTTTTTTACAAAACTTCTTATTTTTTTATTAATTTATTATAAGTTATAAGGGTTTAACTTCTTCAAAAACTCTTTAATACCGGTTTGGCACCGGTATAAGTTGTTTATCCAAACACTCAAAAATACTTTTTATTGGTGTCATACCGGAATAAGTCAATAAGTTGTTTTTATAAACAATTAAATTGAAGTTTTTTACCCTTTGGCTCATTCTCACCTTAGGTAGTTATTTTATATATAGGTAGTTATTTTATATATAGAGAGAAATGGAGTTTTAAACAAGATTACTAATTATTAAAGAATAAAAAAGAGGTCGTTAATGTAAAAAAATCATATATGATTTTACATTAACGTCAAAAAATGGAAGCGTGTGACTTTTGCGGTGACTTAAGTCGTAGTGCAAAGTCGCTCAAATCATGTAGGTTTAAATGAGTACACTACTATTTAAGAAAACAAGAAAAATATCGTTAATATACAAAATCACATACAATTCACGTACAAGATCATACATAATCCGAGCGACTTTGCCCTGCAACTTAAGTTGCTGTAAAAGTCGCTCGCTTCCATTTTTTTATGTTAATGTAAAATCACTTTTGATTTTGTACATTAATGACATTTTTCTTGTTTTCTTAAATAGTTAGCGTTCTTGTTTGAATCTTTATATATATATATATATATATATATAATATAATCTAAGGTCGGGTTCCAATGAGACGGATGATTAAGATAAGAAGAGTAAGAAATGATCTTCACTCTTTGATGCACATCAGGATAAAATGTACCAAATCAATATCTGTTAGAATTGTAATTTATGGGTGGAGAAGAGATTAAAAGTGATCAAGGGTCCAGATCTTTTCTTACGTTTTTCACCTTAACTCTCCTTCTCAAACGATATGTTGTCTCTCTCTCTCTCTCTCTCTCTATATATATATATATATTGTAAAATTGCATATATAACCCTTGTAGGATATCACCAAACACTAAAATTTGTTATGTTACGGATTTTGAGTAATGCGTGTCGTTTCTAAAAGTATTTATTTGGAATTTTGAATCCACGGTTAGTGAATAAAAAAACCTTATGGGTTACTACACGGTTTTGGTGGAATCTTAGAACTTGAAAGTCATCGAAGATTGAAAACTTGATGCTTGACCGAATAGCTTCCAAGTTGTTACTAAAAAAGGAAAATTTATGAAAACTTTGATGTATACCCCTACAATCATATTAATTACATCATTTTCATCAAAGTGTAATTGCAACAAATCATCATATTTTTATTCCATTTTCAATTATAGGCTCAAATTATATATATATATATATGGAAGGGTTCAAATGAAAACACTTTCATTTTATGAGAGCGTGAGAACATTCTTTTAATATAAACAATCACATGTGATACTATTATTTAATCACATATGATACACATGTGATACTAAATCAGAGACGCGGGTGATTTTCGATGCAATCTTGGTTGCGGGTTAAGTCTCCCTTATACCACTAAGCTCTCTCACAAGTATTATCACATGTGATAAGGTTGTTGTTGATATAATACTATAATTCATCAAGACCATCATATGTGATGCTAAATCATAGATGCAAACAACCTTTGACGCGGTCTAAGTCGTAGAACACGTCGTCCGCACATCACAGGGTCCCTTCACGCGTATTATCACATGTGATAAGGGTGTTTTCGCGTTCCCGTAAAATGGAGGTGTTCTCGTTTGAACCTCCATCTATATATATATATATATATATATATACACACACACACACTAGAAGGGTACTCGTGCAATGCAGCGAGATAAATCTCAATTTTAATGTTTAGTTTTTATTCTGTCTCTATCAAATATAATACAATTTTATATGGTTTTCAGAAAGCGCTAATGTTTTTATTTTTGAATTAAAATATAAATTTGAAGATAGCATAAAAAATTGTAAAAAAATTAAATCGATAACAGTA